AGGTCTTTGCTCCAGCACTTCTGATTCAGGGGTTGATTCACCTGTCCAGCAGCCCATCAGGCTCTGCAGAAGCCTGTTAATCACCTGCTGATTGAAATCAGGTGTGATGATGCAGGGTTGAGACTAAAATTTGCTGGGTAGCGGCCCTCGATGGACCAGGGTTCCCCACCCCTGATCTAGGACATTACTTGCTTTTTACTGCAATCGAAGCTACGCTCCTTTTTTTATTTAGCAAGCCGCTCCTAAAGGTGTCTGTCGTCCAAAGTCCTCGTGCAGTCTCTGGTGAACTGAGCCTCAGCTCTAAAGCCTAATCTAAACTTCTCCATCAGCTCCATGAAGGAGAGAAACGGACGCACGGACGGAGACGTTCTGCTCTCGGACTTCTCCGTCTCCTGGGGAGTGTTGCAAAGCAATTCCCTGCCAGGACAACAGAGGGCGTGATGCTGTTCTGTGGTATCCCGTCATGTGTCTGGTCCAGATAGTGCATTTAATATTTAGTTTTTTTGTGTTTAAGAGACTTTTTAACACAGACAATTTTGTCCCTCATTCTCCTCCACCTCTTCATGTACTCGCCACCTCTAAACCCACGTTTCCCATCATTTCCGTCATGACGATGATGCAATGTCATCAAGCTTGTGTTCTCCGTCTCATTGGACGAATGTTTGGAAAAGAAAGCTCAACTCCGTCCATCCTTGCGAGCCTGCTGGAGAGCCCTCAAAATCACGGAGAATGGCGTTGTGTGCGTCCGTCCCGATGCAGACGGAGAAGCATGCCCCAGGAGCACTACGGCGCTCATGATTGTCATCTCAGCTGACTCTGTTTACAAAAGCAAAACTTACGGCCGGTGTTTCATTACAAATTTAGTCATGAATGAATGAATGAATGAATGAATGAATGCAAACCTGAACAAGAATTTTCACTACTGAAGAATTTTTATTTATAACAAATGCAGAAATGTTAATAAAAATGTGAATAATGGTAATTAATGTCATTAGAGATGAGAGGCGGTGTGCGTGGAGGGTTAATGGTGAGCAGATCCTGGAACAGCCGGGGGCAGAGAGGAGGAATGTTGTTTGCTCCTGGGTACGGCAGCGTGGGAGAAAACTGGCAGCAGGTTTGGAGGTACAAAAGAAAAGTGGATAAAAAACAAGACAGAAGAAGGAAGTGTTTACGAACATGCAAGAACAAAACTGAACATGCCTCACCCCGGTGCCCACAACTGAATCTTGGAAGGGAGAGGAAGGAAGCAGGAACAGATCCTTAACTAAGAAGGAAGGTGGCGTGACCTACGGATTTCAGTTTCTTAGAATTGCTACACAGATGTGCACTCACAACACTCATGCATTTATTTGTGGCTGAATCAGGTTGTGTTCTTGAATGACGACATGAATTATCAACTGGCTAAATTACTTTCAGTTTGGTAGATAAAATTAAGAGTTGTGAGCTATACTCAATTTAATAAACCTAATCCAAAAATCAGACATTTATAAGATGTAGTTTTTTCTTGTTTACAGAGCAACTTTAGCTCTTGTCTTGACCTCACTAAACAATAGCAAGCAACACATTTTTTTATTTTGTAACAAAAAATTCTGTCACATCAGTGACATATTAAAGGAGCAACATGTAAGAATTATACAGCGAAATAATCACAAAACAGTGTAATGTCCATAAACTGTAATTTTTCACCTACATATTGACCTACATGCCACCGGTCATCTGCAGACGTAATTCCATTCTCTAAAATGGATTTTAAATTCTATCCTCCAACAAGCCAGAGAAGGATACTGCAGTCCTTGTTGACATTTCAGGGGACAAGATATCAGCCTATGTTCCCAAACAAAGCTCTCTTTTGATAAGACTGCAGGATTGCACACTCTCATGAAAGATGAACTTTTTTACAACTCATAAGTTAAATAATCATTAAACATATGTAGGGATGGGTACCGAATTTGGTACTTTTTAAGGTACCGACCGAATTCCATAGTGCTGACTGAGCACCGATTCACGTCATTTGAAACGGTGCCTCGTTTCTTTACCCGTCCTTCATAACGAGAACTTGCCTAGACAGCTGTGCATGCGCAAGAGCGTTATGTCATCGGTCCCAGCGAGCGAGTTGTAAACAGAGCAGCATGGTAGAAAGAACGCACGCTAAAGCTTGGGTCCACTTCACTAAATGTGATGGGTAACTGGGTGATGATGAAACCAGCGACAACGATCTAAGTGAGACATCCTCATCTTAATCTGCTCCAGTAGGTAAATAAAATGTTTAAGATAACGTTAGCTTGATATGTTAGCTTCCGTTTCGCTAGTGGTGCGTTCGCTTTCTCCTCGGAACTCAGAATTTCCGACTAGAAGAACACGAACGCGCTCTAAGGTTTGGCTTCACTTTACTAAATGCGACGGGTGTTTGGGTGAAGATGAAACCAGTGACAACGATCTAAGTGAGACATCCTCATCTTAATCTGCTCCAGCAGTTAAATAAACTGTTTAAGATAACGTTAGCTTGATAAATTAGCTTCCATTGCCATCTTTGTTATCAGCCAATGGTGTGTTCGCTTTCTCCTTGGAAATTCTAACTTCCCAGTAGGAAAAATCAATTGAAAAAGGACGGCAAAAGGAATGAAGATACACAGTAAATTTAGTTCACAGTAAAGATGTTTGCTTCAGTTTAATTATCAGCTTATAAAACTACAAGGACGATGTTAAAATACAAACAGTTGTATGTTATTTATCTTGATATTTATCGAATATGGTTATATATTGAGAAAAATATATATTTAATTATAAAAGAGAATTAAAATATTAAACACTCAAATGTATCTAAAATTGGTACCGTTAAGTACCGGTATCGATTCCTAGGTACCGGGAATTAGTACTGAATCGATTCAAATGTCAAAGGTACCCATCCCTAAACATATGGTTGAATGAACAAATGTTATATGAATAATAGCATTAATTTTGAATAATCTGTGCCTAATTCAATGAAGTTGAAATCAATTTTAATATTACAATGAAACATTTTGATGACATAATCAGTAATGTTTGATTTAACAAGTGAGTCGTTATCTACACTCATACACAATGTTCATAAAATATAAATTAAAGTTAACGTCACTGCACATAAGATTCTTTATCCGCAGAACAAGGACATTCTTGTATCTGGAAAAGGTGTGTGTTCTAAGGTTTGTTTGTTAACACCTCTTGACCTCTTTAGTCCTGACTGGCCATGTAATCATAATATGGGAATATTAAAACAGAATCACTTGCGGAGTGATCCAGTTAGTTTTTGAGCAGAACTCCGGACGGGCCACCGGAGGAAACTCTCTAACCACCACATCTCTTGACAAGCTGTCAAAACCTGCTACACTCTACAGCTGACACAGCAAAATGGTTCCTTCAGCTATTCAGAAACAGCTGTTCTAGACGCAAACAATGTCATCTATCTGTTGTGACTCGGGAGACATCCTAGGACTGACTTGGTCGCATCGAGGTTTTCCTACGAGCCACGTGCATTCGGGGTCACGACTCTTTGACATCTTGGATCCAAACGGGGTCTCCAGGAACGGGTACGTAGGCATGACATGAATTGCGTCTGATGCCGTTTTATAAACCATCACTTACAGGTTAATGCAGACCAAATTCTTTTCACACCCAGAACTCAGTTTCGTCTAGATACAAGGTTCTGATTAACACACACCATTCAATCTTCATACATCACATTCCATCCACTTATATCCATCCATCACAGTCGTCTTATTTATAACTTGTCTTGTTTATAATTTGTTCAGAAAATAAATGTCTTACTTTTTATAAAACTGACTGTCTGAATTGATACGAAGTGTGTTTGATCACTGAAAAAGCAAAGAATCCTAATGCTACTGATTAAACATTCAAAGACCAATCAGTGATACTCTACATTTACATAGAATATCACATCTTATTGGTCATAAGTAAAGATAATATATTAAGCTTAAAAGCAACATATTTACCCCTTCTACAACAGTCTAATGTCTCAGTCATGCTGGACGGAAAGTTACATTTGGATTGGCCCAGTCCGGTCTTGGTAGCTCCGGACAACCTGTGAACCCGCTGGGTTGCTGAGTTTGTGTCTAGCTAACTCTACAGCACTGGCATTTGTAATTTGACACCGGCAGGCAAAAAGCTCCAGAGTTGTTTAAAGAACCAACACCAGTAAACAGGAGTGACCCAGAAGTTGTTTTATGCACCCCTAAGAAGCCACAACATCCTTTTGTTTTACTTTAATATCGGGTAGAGAAAGCTAGAAGCTATTAGAAGCCAACAGTCCTCTTTAAAAATATCTCAAGCTACTTTTAAATCACCAACAACTCGATATTACAGTGAAATGTGTGTGTGAAGTGAATAATGATGACTTACTTCCTTTAACGAGTCGTTCAGAAATATTACAGCAAGCTAACAGCAAGCAAACACTCACACTTTGTCTAATGCAGGAGGATTATGTGTAGAAAGCGCTCCTTATCATAAAACACCCAAAAATTCTAACACTAAATATGATAATGTATTTATCCACTTATTAACTTACAGCGTATAACTCATCGTTGCTTGTCATCTAGAATCTTCTGGTGCTGATGCATAACTAGCATAGCTATCTATAACTGGCAACAGCCATAAAATTCATGGAACAGGAGTGAGAAAATTAGCTTTTGTTTAGAAAAATTGCCTGCAGTACCCAAAACTCACCACAGGATGTCATGCTAAGTTCATTCTTACATATTGCATCTTTAAGTTTATGTGTCAATAAGGATCATTTCATTGGTTGATAAATTCTAAAAATTTAACATTTACTATCAAGTAATAATAATAATACAAGGTAATCACAGTGTAACTGAAATTTATTTATAAATTTTGATTAAATATTTCAGAATGGAACCTTCTTTCTTGAGTAGTTTAGAGTGAAAATCGTATCAAATATTTGGATTTTCACTGGTGTGAAGAAAACAAAAACACAAGCCTGACAGAAATCTTTTTGCTTTTACTTTATTTTCCATAATATAGGAAGAGGACAGTGTGTGGTCACAGACCAGCGTTAACTTAAGATGTAGCTACTTTTTTGACAGTGTAACTATATTTAACAACAGCTGCAGATTTCAAGGACGAGGAACTATCGCGCTACTGAAATTGACATTCCTGGGATCAGAATTGTGTTTCCATGGATGCAGTTTATTTTTGTTCAGTTTGGGTTTAACTTATTTGGATTTAACAACAGATCACTGGCGAGCGGAGAGGCGATTCCGGAGCTCCTGGATGTAGGGGTCCATCTTCTCCCACAGCTGGTCAACATAGGGGGTTGCCATGTCTTTCACCTGCTGGGCTCTCTGTGAGACCTCACTCTGGACCCTCGTGGACAGAGATGTCACTTTCTGATCAAATTCCTGCAGGTGCTGGTCCACCTTCTGCTTCAGGTCGTCGGTGTATGGCCCGAGCTGAACCTGCAGGTCCTTCACGCTCTGCTCCACGTTGGCCTTCAGCTCCTCGCTCCTCTGCACCAGGGTGCTCCTCAGCGTCTCGATGTCCAGGGAGTCGGAATAGGGGGCCAGCTCCTGTTTGAGCTGGTCCACTCTCTGCTGGATCTGGGCCTTGACGTTCTCCGTGTAGGGCTCCATCTTGTCCCTGGCTGAGCTCAGCTCCTGGGTCACGCGATCTTTCAGTGCTTCAGCCTCTACGGTGACTTTCTTGATCATGTCCTGAGCTCCGATGGGGAGCTGCTCCTGCAGGGTGACGGCATACTTGTTGGCTACATCGGCACTTTCTGTCAGCCGAGTGCTGGACAAACAAGGTGGGGAGAAGGAGAAGCAGGACAGTGAGCTTCCAGACTCTAATACCGATCATCTGCTATTAATGCTCATTGTTTTTCATGCATGCTTTTGTACCTGATTTCCTGCCCAAATGGAGATTCTCTGATCATCTGAAGGGTGTCATCAGCTGTCTGGGTGGCTTTTCCAACGTAGTCCCAGAATGCATCAGTTATCACTTCCAGCTGTGGCCTTGGTGCATCAGCGTAGAAGAGGTTGGCATTGCAGCCTGTTGGGTAGATTACGAAAGTAAGTGTTCACCCACCAGCAAAGTTTAAAGCTTCAGTATGTCGCTTTCTTCAAAATACTCACCGCTGAAGACGGCCAGGACGAGCACAGCGAGGACCTTCATGGTTCTTCTTAGACCCTGCACCGAAAGCAAATACCAGTAAGTCAATAAAGCGTTTTCAGCAGCCCAGTAGCAGGTCCTCCTATTCCCTCGTCTTACCTGAGTGTCTGCTAATCCAGTTGGTTGTGCTTGTGATCAACTGGTCAAGTTCTGCAGCTTATATAGCAAGTCAGACAGTTATGATCTCAAAGTCCAAGTGGTAGTGCCTCGCTGTCACCTTGCCTCACCCTTCTGTCTTCGCTGACATCTTGCGCCAGAAAATCTATGGACAAGCCCCTCCTGATATACGGAGGGGTACAAATCATGTTATAAATAGCAAATAAATGATGTTATTTATTTAAAACTCCCACTGTGGATGGGCTTGCAGCTTATATAGTTGTCTAAATATGTGTTTAAGGGTTTCATTATCTTTGCCACAACCATTAGAATAGACTTAAATCCATGCAACTAACCTATTAATCCCACAAAATCTGCCTTTCCAGTGTCTGATGTCCAACTTTAACTGCACACAAAGTTTTATCGCTTTTTAAAATCATCATTTTGCTGACATGTGTTACAGTGATTAAAAGTCCTTGTTTGTGTGCCAATGTTCAATGGCCCAGGTACCTGTCTGGCCAAAGGTTATGGAATCAGGCTCCGTCAGACTTGGAGGGACAAAGTAGCTTCTGTTTCACACCTGGTCACTTCCCAGGAGACACTTCAGGGTTTAGAAGGATAATCTTGTTGGTCCTTTTTTTTTTTAAGAAATGAACAGTGATACAAAAACAACAAATAAAATAAACTTCACCCAAAAAAGGAGAAGTGCATCAAAAACAAATAAAAGCATTCTTTAAAAAAAAAGAGAACACAACTCACTGAGAGTTTTAGGTGATGAAACGTGCACACTGCAAAAAATGATTTCTAAAAAAAGTAAAAAATATATAGATTCTCTGGAACAATAGCATTACTTAAAATAAGGTAATATTCTTAAATATAATCCGCATTTCCTTATTTTGATTAAAGAAAAATCTGCTAATAGGGTAAGCAAAAGTTGCTTGAATTACAAAAACTAGCTAATAAATCAAAATTTAGATTATTTTGCTAGTTTTAAGGATTCTAGCCAAGCAAGCTTTGCTTACTCCATTGGCAAAATTAGCAAAACAAGAAAATTTGGATTTTGCATATTTAAGAATATTTACTTAACCCCTACTTCACACTTGAAGCATCAGCGAAGCGGAACGGCAGCAGGATGGTTTACTCGCGACTTTCGCTGCCTGCCAGTACACACCGGGAGAATCTCAGCTGAGGAGCAGCTTCTCTGCCGTGCTCCTTGTTGGACTTGCAAGATCACAAAATTCCTCATGTTTTTGCCATCCACCATTACAGCCATTAAAAACACACCGCTGCACTTCTGGAATGATTCGGGGAGTAAATAAGCTGTTAGGTCACTTGTATGGACGTAATCTACATAGATACAAAACTGCTGCAATAGTCTTTTATTTTGAAAATTACCTAGGGTCTTACATTTACACCATGTGTTATTTCCAGTGTTGTGCCCGAACACGTTCATTGAACGATCGTTCGTCGATTAGTTCATTTTTTCGTGGACGTGAACTGAACTCGTTCGTATTTTGCCTGACGAACGTAAAAGTGAGTGCGTTTGTCCTGGCGTGCGTGAACGGGTTTATGAACGCGTTCTTTCGCCGTTGTAGCTCCAGATCTCCACAGAGCTTTTCCAGAGCTAAAGCCTAGCTAAAACATCCTGTTAACCGTAGAGTTTATAAAAAGTAGAACCCGCAAATGCGGCCAAACATAGGCAGTAACAGTTGGTGCGGCGTCTACTCTTCTACTTCTATGCTGTGTGCAGGAGTCAAAGTTCATTCAGAAAAATTGAAACAGGACTTAACTGAAAGATTATACAGTTTTTAATGTTTTGCACTTTTAATATGTTTAGTTTGCTACCTCGGCCTGCTTCCTAAGATTGTTTAATAATTTTCCATTTAAAAAACTGTTCAAATAATGTTTTCCTCATGTTTTTGAGAATATACTGTAGGGTAAAAACTGCAGCTGGGTATGAGTGTGGTCTGAACGAGTGCCAACTATTGGAAAATTATGTCATAAGTTATATATATATATATATATATGTACATATATATATAAAATACATACACACACACACACACACACATATATATATATATATATATACACACACACACACACACACACATATATATATACATATATATATGAGAAAAAAGAACTATGAACTAGTTCGTTTTTGGAACAGTGAACTTAGTTCAAAAGTTCGTTTTAAAATGTATGAACTGAACTTTGAACTAGTTCGTTTTTTAAATGAGCTTTCCCAACTGGTTATTTCCTGTCTAGTTCCTACATTAACTGCGAAAATTGTTGTGTGCCAGAAGCGGTTCGCGATCTTATCTTTCTGGGACGCGCCTGAAAATTTCCGGGTTGCGGATGTTTCGAATGCCCCCCTTCCACCCCCCATAGACTATAATGGATTCTATATTTGAAGCAGTGACGTTCCACTGCTGTTCCATGCCGTTGATGCTTCCCGTTTGTATTTTATGTAATGCCATTTTTCTGGAGAAGAATTTATTTTCTTTTTAGGCTAAAAATAAAATGTACTTAAAATGAGACTGTTTTAAAAAATATTTTTAGAAATCAGTTTTTGCAGTGTACACCTCATGAAAAGCAGGAACAGCTCATGAGAGATCCTGGTTGTACAAATTAAACATTAAATGCTGTAAATCACACTTTTGTGTTCTCTTTGGTTTGTTTTAGTTTTATTGTTCTCACTTTGAAAAGAAATTTGCCAATTTTCATTACTAAAAAGAACATTTAGCTGAGGAATATTTCAATAAAATATCCAAACGTGGTCCAGAATAGCATCATTTAAAAATGCATCATTTACAGATGAATACTAACTTAAAAAATTCATTAAAATGCCACAGAAGCAAAAGAAAAACTGTATTCATGAATCTAATAACACCCCAAATAGTTATTTGTTTAAATAATTAACATTTACAGTAAATAACAGATTCTTGTGCTGCTTTCTTCTAGTTGTGTGACCCTGAAACAAAGTCCAGAACTGAGCATAACAGGGATATCTTGGATTATCTCGAGATTGGCGGCGTGGGACTACGTGGACCTGTATTTACTGTTCACCTTTTATTAAAGCGTTTTGGAGAGAGGTCAAAGGAGAGGTGATGGTGAATTTTCTGGGAAGTGGGACAGATTTGGTTTGGGCTCTTCTGAAAAGCTAGCAGCTCGGTGATAAAATAAAATAAAATCTAAAGGAAAAAGTGAGCTGCTGTGACAGCATGGCAAGGACTCCTGGACTTTGGGCTCTTGACTACAACTGTCATATGATCTCAGTATATATACACGGAAGAACAAGTCCCACACACTCATTAACACAGTAAAGCACGGAAGACACACAAGCCCTAAGCAGGTGAGAATAGCTCGATATTTTAAATTAGATGCTTTTTAGAAAAAAAATTTTTTTTGAGGGGGGGGGGTTAATTTGAAACGTTTTGTCTTTCAGAGCCTCAGTCATGAAGGTGTTTGTGCTACTAGCTGTTGCAGTGCTCTCTGGTAAGTCACAAATGTTTAGCTGAAGTAATGATGAGGGCTTTGAACGAGCAGAATCTGTTTCTCACACGCCTCGTTTTTCTTCTACAGGCTGCGATGCCAACCTCTTCTACGCTGATGCACCGAAGCCACAGCTGGAAGTGCTGACTGACGCTTTCTGGGACTACATCTCCAAGGCCACTCAGACAGCTGATGATACCCTGCAGATGATCAGGGAGTCACCGCTGGGGCAGGAAATCAAGTGAGTTGAGTGACATGCAGCCTAGGGACTACACAGTCCTAAACGTCCTAACTGTCGCTTTCCTCTCTCTTCCAGCACTCGTTTGACTAAAAGTGCTGACATGGCCAGTAAGTATGCCGTCACCCTGCAGGAGCAGCTCCCCCCCGCAGCGCACGACCTGGTGAACAAGATCACCACAGAAGCTGACGTGTTGAAAAGCGTGCTTACTAAGGAGCTGAGCTCAGCCAGGGACAAGCTGGAGCCCTACACGGAGAACATGAAGGCCCAGATCCAGCAGAGAGTGGACCAGCTCAAGCAGGAGCTGGCCCCCTATGCCGACTCCCTGGACTCCGAGGCCCTGAGGACCACGCTGATGCAGAAGAGCGAAGAGCTGAAGGCCAGCCTGGAGCAGAGCGTGAAGGACCTGCAGGCTCAGCTTGGGCCATACACCGACGACCTGAAGCAGAAGGTGGACCAGCATCTGCAGAACTTCCAAAAAAGCGTAGCCTCCATGACTGAGAAGGTCCAAGGAGAGCTGAGTCAAAGAGCCAATGTGGTGAAACAAATGGTGGCTCCCTATGCGGAGGATCTTGGGGAGAAACTGAACCCCTACGCCCAGGACCTCCAGGCCCAGCTCATGTCTCTTTATCAGTCCTTCATCAATGCCAACTAAGTCACCGTCCACCTCCTAGGACACAATTGAACAAAACGTTTGCTCTGTTGGTCTACCTCCGCATGAAAGATGAAACACACCAACTTCTGTCCTGTACTGTAATCAAACTGTGCGGAAAACACAACTAAGTATTTATTGCTAAGTACAAAAACTACAAGGCTGCACTTGTCAAGCATGTGTACATAAACCGTTTTTACTATGACCTTTTTGTAATTTCTGTAACTTATCTAAAATAAACAAATAAATCTTTTAAAATATTTGTTTTCATTGGATTGCAATAAAAAAAACTCACAACCGTTGACATCTAATAGCCTGTTTAGCCCTTCTGAAGTCCCTAGAGACCACAGTGACTACTGAGACCTGTGTTTCCCCTGGGAGGCAGTCATTATTTAGACTTCATCTGCAGCGTCTCAACATGTCCTGGCTCCTGTCATGGTTTCGTCTCAGCGTTTCTCCAGAGGCAGACCATTGTTCTTGTCAAAGCTTGCTGTGGAGGTTCGCCCTAAACGCTACGTCACTAAAACCCAACAAACACTAAGAGAGACATGGAGAATCTGTTTTCTCACCAAAGAAGCCACAGTTTGAGTATGGGTTTTTAGGTTTTATTTATAAAAAGTTGCTTTCACGTTGCTATGGTGACGGGATAATTATCTTAGGCATAAAAAAAAGCAAGCAACACTTTTTTGGGTTGTAAACGCAACACAAAGTTCCTGACTCTCTTATCTTACCTCCCACTGATGTTTCCAGCATCCAACGTGGAGGGTTAGAGTCCAGAGTCGATAGTGCAAACATGCATGAACTCATGCATGCACACACACACACACACACACACACACACACACACACACACACACACACACACACACACACACACACACACACACGTTTATCATCTAGCTGATTTCAAAACAGAAATTACACAACCATATCTTTCTACTGTATGAGTCTTAACATATGACAAATGCCTGATATAAGTAAGACACTGCTAGTTCCAGTGGTTCTAAACACTTACATGAAATATATGTTAAGTTTATGCTGTTTAATTTGGGTTAAACCCACAGAGTCAACAACAAGCTAGTTCTGCACTGCAAAAAGTGATTTCTAAAAAAGCCAAATTATTTACTTTTTTTTTGTTTTATGAGAAATAAATTTCTATAAATATCATAGCTTAAAATAAGTATATATTTGTTATATGTTCCAAATGTTCCCTTTGTACACACCCCTACGATGGTGTAAGCAAAAGTTGCTTGGCTGAAATTTCGTAATATAGAAGAGTTTTAGGAGGACTGAAAGAAACAAAAGAAAATAAAAAGATTTCTGACTTTAATCTCATATTTCTGACTTTTTTCTAAGAATTCAGACTTTTTAACTTCTGAGAATAAAGTCAATTTTTTCTATTTCTTTGTTTTTCTTTTCAGTCAGGCAAAAAAATTAGCATGGCAAGCCAGACTAAATAAATCTATTATTTAGACTGGCAACGCTCCATTGACGGCTCTCGGTTGTGTGTGTGTGTGTGTGTGTGTATGGGGTGGGGGTGGGGGGGGGGTGTTTCTACCGTTGTCTTTCAAATGATCTCCGCATGCTACTGGACAATGAATGTGACATACTCTTGTTTCACTCTGTTGCATCATCCCACCCACCAGGCATATAGAGTGCCCTGATTGGCCCACAAAGCGGATAAAGCTCTGTGATTTGTTCACTAAGCAGATAGAGCACTATGATTGGCCCACCATTATGAACCAATCACAGCTCTTTATGTGTTTGAAACCCCTCTAGAGAGCTGTGATTGGCCAGCCAGAATGCTTTTGTGGCTGCAGAGGTTCCAGTGGAACCTAGGCAAAACTTTGCAAAGCAAGAATTTGGTCTAGTTCACTAGGCTAGCGAAAAATATCTAACCGGTTAGATTTTCACCTCAGCGCATCGTGCAGAAAACTCAGTGAAAATTAGGCGCACACAGCGAGGTATCTGCTGGGCAAACGGCCTCTAATGACTGCTCAGAAGTTTGCTCTTGTGTGCAGCAGGCTTAATCGAAGCACTGAGATAATGTATGTAAATGAAATGTAAACGGCCTCCTTTAGCTGTTAACTTCCAGAAATGGTGAGACGGCTGAAGCAGTCAATCTTCTGATAATATCGCCACAAAGTAACACCATCAAACCGTACATACATACCAAATAAGCTGTGCTGCAGTGCTGTTGTGCATTCCTTCGACCATTGTGTATATCCTGTTAAAATGTTGCCTGCTTTACTTCCGCCAGTGTTTGTTTACTATTTGTGTTCCAAGAAAAGGGTGCATGTCGCCACCTACTGTACCGGAGTGGAAAGAACTTCATTTGAGAGTTCGGCTTTCTACCGTACATGCAAACTAGGATAAGAGCGTTTATAACTTTAGACCGACCTAGACACACACATAAATGCACTGAGTGGCCCTAATCCGCTTAAAACTAGCTAAATAATCTAAATTTAGATTCATCAGCTAGTTTTACCCCATTGGCAGATTTTATTGCTCAAAACAAGAACATTTGGATCATATGTAAGAATATTTACTCTAAAGATCTTCGTCTCCCCTCTCCCTGCCACACCTGGTGTGGAGTGTGGTGCCTTGGTCTGCCTGGGTCGTGGCTCCCGGGTCAGGGAGTTCAAGATTTTTGGCGTCTGACTGACCAATCCCGGTGGCGGCCTGGTGGGGTCTGGGTCCCTGGGCTCTGCCGGGTCCCCGGCGGGGGTGGTCGCCCCTGGGTCCCGGGTCATTGGGTCCCGGGCTCGGCCGGCTAGGGGGTGGGAGGCTGCGGGCGGGCCTGTGGGCTTGCCGCCGATATCTCCCTGGACTCTGCCGGCTGCTGGTTGTGGCCCCCCGGGGCGATCCACTGCGCCTCTCGAGGGGAGCGGGGGCATTTCTGGTCGCAGTCTCCCTGGGGTTCCTGTGCTCTGGGGCAGCTCCTGGATCTCTGGGACTTGGAGCTCCCTCCGTCTCCTGCACATCTTTAGGGGGAGATCTGTGGCCCCTCACACTCTCTGTTGGACGCTCCTATAGAGAAACCTTACATAAACAAGCGCGTGTACACACACAGGTGCTCACATGGTGCTCTCAAAAGTATGGGCTTGGGCACGTTCAACACAGGTCTTAAGACTATGGTGGGCACTTAATGCACTGTGATTTATTATCGTGCGACTGTTCAGTTAAACAATGTTGATTATATATTTCTTCATCAAGTTGACGCAGTGATAGCTTGATCTTGTTGTGTTGTTGTTGTGTCCCTTTTTCTTTTTTTTTCTTCTCTCTTTCTGCAGGTCTAGAAGCAGATTCTTGTTCATTATTGTTTATTTTTGTGGAACCCCCCCCCCCCCCCCATCTTTTGTCTCTTCCTTTCTCTTTCACCTCTGCCTCCGTGTCTGGTCGTAATTACAAAAGCATTCAAAAACAATAACGGTAAAGTTTTAAGTATCAGGCGTGATGTTAAAAGCAGGCGCTTTGATGCTCCACCTGAGAGTAAATCTGCAAGGCTTGTTACCAGCATTCAGACATCAATTCTGCTTGCTTCACAGCCAGACAGGACACAGAAAAAATAAGTAAATAAATAAAAGAATATTTACTCTATTAACACTGTGTTTCTAAAGAAGCCCCCCCCTCCCCCGACCAAAAAGAAGATAACATTTCTAAAATCAAGACTTTTTTAAAACTTTCTTAGAAATCACTTTTTGCAGTGTGTGTTTTTGCAAATTTAAATCTCATCTAAAGCTGTCATGTTCCAGCCTGTTTTAGAGCTGATTAGCACTTGAGAGAACAACAAGGAGCCACATGTTTAGTCAGAATTGCCAAAAGGCATTTAGTCCTTGACCCTAATGATGGACATCAACAGGGGGACGGTGTTTAACACAAGAACGTTTCTTTGAACAAGACAGAGCTTGTCTTATGTCTGGTTGTAGCACTCTTGTTTACCTTCAAGTCGCGAATCATGATAAAGGAAATTATATGGTGAACGCGTGATCTTCACAAATGCAGCCAGTGAGAGGAGACGTGCTTGAAACATTTGTATGCCGGGTGCAAACACAAGAAGAAGAGGTGAATAGACCTCAGACTTGTTCCTTCTGTAATTATGACTCAATGCATAACTACTTTTCACTTCAAAAACAATTGTACTCTCTAAAACCACACAGTGATTCATGCAAACACTAATTTATTAACTGTTGCATTACACAGCATTAAACAGGAATTTATAATCAGTTTTTTGCAAAGATAACTGCAAAAGTTGGTGCAGTCTTAGTCAATTTTATGTAAAACAAGTGATGAATAATAAACACTGTAAGAATTAACAAGAATAACATAAATAAATATGTATGCAATAGATTTTACTGCAGTGAGATTTTTGTAACAGGTTCAATTACATTTTTAAAAGTTGTTTTCACCAAGTTGAAATTAGCTTGACTTCATTCAAAATCACACTTTTGAATCTGCTATGAGGTCAAGTTGGCATTGTGATAAAATTGACTTATGATGATGTTTAATGTTGATTTGTTATTGTTTCACAAGAATATTAAACTTTCACTGGCTGAATTTTCACATATGACTAAGCCTGCACTGCCACCCAGTGTTGGAACTGTAAAATAGCAGCATCAGCCTTAAAATTACATTGTTATAAATATGAATACATTTTGGTATAGCGCAGGGGTGGGCAACCCTGGTCCATCGACGGCCGGTATCCAGCTTCTGCAGAGCCTGATGAGCTGCTGAACAGGTGACACACTGACCTCTTTCCACACTCGACTACTTTCTTCTACAATCTGCTCTTTAACTGCATTATTTCCTGCAATTTCAGCTGTTAACTTTATTTTTTCTCCAAGTGTTTTTCTCCCCAGAAGAAGCTACAATGATGTTCTGCTGAGCTGTGGTGGCCTCATGGAGGGGGCCATCGTCTTGAACACTGTTGCTAACCATTAATCATTCTCCCTCTCTTGATAATAACATTTTACTTTCCTTGACATTGAATGTGCTACTACTAGTTTATCCGTTTAATCATAGATTCACTAGGATAAATACAATGAAGTTTATCTCTCACCAAATAGAATATTTACTAAGAAATAACAGTGTAACCATAGAAACATTACTTGGTGTGTGTGTGTGTGTGTGTGTGTGTGTGTGTGTGTGTGTGTGTGTGTGTGTGTGTGTGTGTGTGTGTGTGTGTGTGTGTGTGTGTGTGTGTGTGTGTGTTCTCCATCCCCAGTGAGTCGTGGTGGATTGCTACTTATACTGAGCCAGG